CTCAAATAAGAAATCCAGATACTAGGCTAACTTCTTTACTCTATTTAAAAATCCACACTGGGATCTTGCTTTTATGGCAGACAACTGACCATTCTTTCAGATCTTGAAATCTCAAGTATACAATATCCGACACAGTGATCGCTAATCTGGGACCCTCTGTATTTCTGCATATAGTGTAGGGTTTTTGGCACTTAAAGATATATTAAGTTTGTGACAATACTAGACTGGGGGGAGCTGTTGAACCCTTTGAGGTTACTAAGGCCTTCCTGAAGGATCTTGATAATTGGAGGACTGGACTATCATCAATCACATGAAGTTTTAGTGCACAAGTGCTGCATTCTGCACCTGGCATGGACAAGGCAGCCATGGATGCACAGTACAGACTGGGGGACGAGAGGCTGGAGAGCAGCCCCACAGAAAGGGACCTGGGGTTTCTGGTAGATGGCAAGTTGAACGTGAACCAGCAGTGTGCCCTGGCAGCCCAAAGGGGCAACTGTAGCCTAGGGTGCACCAGGCCCAGGGCTACCACTGGTGGAGGGAAGGGGCTGTCCTCTGTGCTTTGCACTGGTGTGGTCTTGCCTCCAGCACTGGGTTGCTGTTTGGGTGCCACAATATAAGAAGGACATGAAACTATAAAGAGGTTGTCGAGAGGTGTGAATTTTCTCAAGTCAGTCATTCTCAAAAAGGAACAGCATTCCTTTCTTAACAATTAGTGTATTATTTTGTTTGTTAAATGATTTAAAGAGAAATCTGAAAACAGTAGAAACATCCAAAAATTGTTTAGCTATAAAAAGTTGTAAAATCCCCAGGTAGTTGTTAATATTTTTCACTTGACCTTGATTTTACCAGTAGATGTGAGGGACTGTTAAAATTAGGATAACAAGCAATTGCATTGGCCGTTGTGGAGTGTTTTTTCTAGGCATTCCAGAAGGATTTTTTTTGAGAGAGAGAGAAAGGTGTATGAGGCTGTGGGATTCTACAGGAAAAAAAGAGCAATAGATAAACGTGAGTTCAGTGGAGAATGACTGTTCAAACCTGTATGAATTGTTGATTTGAAAAATACTTTAGAGATTAACATTGCCTAGTGTGGTTCTAGTCCAGTTTTTTTTGTCTGGTGCTTCCTGCCTAGGTGTATTTTCCCCCTTTACAAATGATGTCAAACCTTCCAGCTAATTTTTGTGTTTTCAGAAGTCTGACATCACTTTCCCTGCGTGGTTTTGATCTGACATGTCTTAATTATTTTTTTTTCATTCTTTCTCTTTTTTATTCTTAAAAACATGAGATTTGGAAAGATGAGGATTGTTGCTTTAATGATTTATCTTGAGGCCAGAGTTAAATTATATTCCATGCACTCATCTAGTATATCTAGTATCTCATGATCAATTGGTTCTTTGCACGGACCTCAGCTACCATGCCTTTAGCACAGTAACAGCATATTTGTTACTGATTTTGAAGAGGAGTAATGCAGCATCACTGCCTGTTTCTAAAAGTAAGTATTGTAGACGCCAGGCTTTTCTGCAGAGATAATATGAATCTGCTATCATTGATCTTGTTAGATTACTTAACCAGAAAAAAATCGAAATGAGCAATATGTGGAGTGGTAAACTTGCAAAACTGGCAGTGCATGCTATTGAAGTCTTGCTGAGGCAAGTGCTCTGATGCACCCTGTCTGCAGGGACAGGTTTGTGCACCACCAAAAAGAAGCATCAAACTCTCAATGTTTATACATGCTAGCAAATATTTTAACGCTGTATTGTATGTGCAGTGTAAAAACTGCATGGCAGCTTGCCTAGATGTATCTTTATCTGAATCGCATGTCTGTAAGGGAAATGAAATCTTGCACCTCCAGGTCCAAGAGTAAATCCAAGCAAGAATTAAAGGGAATGAAAGAATCAGTGATGTTAGTTGTCAGCAGTAATAAGCTCTGTACTTTTTTAGAGGCCAGTCATTTGGTAATGCTTTAGTCACAAGTATGTGATTTCTTCTGAGCCAAGGCCAGCTGCATATCGTACTGTTGATTTCCCAGCAGGTGTGGAACATCTTCTTGGCCCTTCTTCCACCTCATAGAAAAGGCAAGCATTGGTTGTTCAGTGGTCTTTCTGAGTTGCTCTGCACTGGGGCTGGGCTGTGCAGCTAGGCAGTGGAACAAAAAGTTTGCAAGAATTTAACAGTGCATGTGGGAAGGGATGAGATTGTCTAAAGATATCACAATTATATTGCACTGTGTTGGACTGAAAGAGTGCTGGAGGATATCTGGCAGTTCATCCACTTACAGCAGCAAATTCAAGGTATAGTTCCGCCTTGAGCTGTTCATTCTTACACCTACAAAATCCCCTGGCACTTTCCTGCCTGCAATTTGCTCTCCTACCAGGTACAGAAGCAGATAGGTAGGTGCCCCCAGGCTTTACCAGATGTTTGCATGTTATAGAGCTTCGTGGTTGGTCCCCTTTGAGGATGGCATGTGTAGATTGAGGAATACTGTGCTGTCTGGTGTTTGAAGAACTTGCATAATATTTAGACTTGTATGTGGAAATATGCTTTTTGCCTGGGAATGGCACAAAGAGCCTTTGTGGCAATGCAGTGCAATTGTTTGCATGGTTTAGTGCTGATAATGTATGTAATGTGTGTGTATAAGCCACCAGAAACGTGCTTTGTATAAACCACTTTCTTGAATTTTGTGCCTTTTGTCTGTTTTGTAAACCAGTCTGACTCATTATTTCTCTACTTATTAACAATTTTTTCACTGTTTTTAGTTGTGGTTTGTTTTTTTTTTTGTCTGCTCAACTGAGTTGTTGGTGTTTTGTTCCATATCAGTTGATGTCAATTGATACCAATGATATACACTGATACCAGTAATGTACCCAAAAGCTCCACAGAATGTGAATCTGTTTGCTTTTTGTTTGTACATCTGTCTCTTTCATTGTTACCCTGGGTCAGATCCAAGTTCAGTGAAGCTTATGTGATGTATCCCTTCCGGGTAATTTCACAGTTTAATGTGTGTCCTCTCAAGAAAACCCTTGAGACGTGGAGGATGTTTGTTGTGGAAGCAGGGAATTGTGACGGTCCTCTGTACAAGAGCTTCTCAGTATTACTATTGACACTTTTTATTATCATGACCTCTTTCTAGTGCTTAGGAAATGCAGTAAACCACACATTTTTGAAATTGTATATACTGTATACACTAGTGTTCACTAAATATATCCCACTGCATAGCTCACACTGTCAGTACCATCATAAGTGTGTTGATACTTGTTGCTGTTTGAAATAACAATCTTAAATAAGCATTATATTTTCTGAGGAAATGATAGAGCGTGTTCTATTCTTGCCAATATTTTGAAGGGCCTTATTTTTGTTTGTAGGTATTATCTCTCAAATAGTTTTCAAGTCAGTTTGTATTGCTGGTACTAGAGTAAGCCATGTATTTGTGAATGCTTATGTCTGTATATTTGTGTCAATAAATTAAAAATAAATAAATAAATAAAATTCCGTATATGTTGATGTGGGAAACAGGGAACTCTGTGCTGCTTGCCCTTAGAGCATGTCTGTTTTATTGCATGCTCAGGTCTGGCAAGTTACTGCAAATCCAACTAAACTCAAACCAGCATCTTTTGCCAGGGAGAAAGGCTGCGTTGTGCTGCAGAGCTGCTTCCCTGTCAAAATCAATACACAGATTTATTTCTCCCTAAATGGTTGTTTATAAAAGTAATCACAGAAATAGAATCTCAAAATGTTTAATTATGTCATTTTGTATCTGCCCAATATATTCTGAATGTATTTACACATGTTTAGCAAGTGATGCAAAATACAAAGGTTTGATTTTTTTTTTTTCCTTACATGTTTTAGTAACTGAGATAAATTCAAGATAGTATGTATTAATGTTGGAGAGAAAAAAAAAGATGGTCAGTAGGAAGAGAAACATGTATGAACTAGCTAGATCAGGAGGAATGTTTTGCAAAATTGCTACTGCCCCAAATCCTCACAAGATACCAAAAAGGCTAATGTATATATTTTTAATTAAAAAATAGAATAGTATTCTCTTGCATTAACAGAAATTTCTACTTTTCCGTGATCGTGTGTCACCATTTGAAAGTCATAGTTCTTCCATGAATAGTTACTTCATGTAAGTGTTGGAAAGAAATGACCAGTTTCTAATAGCTGTGTAAAAACTTAGTTGTCTTTAATTGGAGTTGGTGATTTGGAAAATATCCTGTCAGCTATCTCTGTTTCCCAGCAGGGAGATGTGCGAGTGTTCTTAAGCATACAAAGTTTTACTCTTTGAGCTGTGAATATTGGAGGTCACCTAAAAATAAGTCATTACTGTGGATTTCATATTTCTGAAATTTCATGTTTTTAAGTCAGAATCAACAAGCAGATTCCAGAAAGTAGCATTAGCATTTACATATTGATATTTTTCCTCAAACGAATATCCCCAGGGTAGCTGACACTGATTCTACACCCTGCTAAAGCTATTGCACAGAAGTGCTATTTTTGGTTTTCTGCTCTTTATAATGTTATATTCTCTCTTCTTCGTCTGGAAATCAGAAAAAGCAAACCAAAAGTCTTTGTTTCTCTATAATAGGAACCTAAAATACAAAATTCAATGTTAGCCTTTATCTGCATTACAAATTTCGTTTTGAAATTTGGTCCTGTTTGCTTTTTATCCACAGCATGGCTGAATCTCAGTCTTGAACCTCAGAACTGTGGCAAATGAGAGCTTATGATCTGAGACATCCCAAATGTCTTTTTAATTAGTTTTTATTACACAGCTCATAGCTTTTCCAGTGTGCAACCACGTTGATTTCATCACGTCTGTAGTCTTTCATGGTTGCTCTGGTGCTGTGTAGCTGTCTTCCTTTCTAGTAAGTGGACCAGCTTTCATGCTTTGTTTCCACATCCTCCAAGTGATACATACAAGGCTGCCATACTTCTGCCTTTTTTTTTTCTTTCCCCTCTTTTTTTAAATTGCTTTTTTCATATTATTTTTTCTTTCTTTCTTTCAGCCTCCACTGGAACTTTGCAGTCTGCCATTCAAAGCCTGAACAAGAGCTCGACACTGTGCTTTTTCAGGTATGCTTCTTTAAATACACTTTCTCTTGGAGGGGAGGGGTGTTAATGGAAGGAGAGCATCTCCAGAGGATCTTTTCCTCGTTCTCGTAGCGAATCTTTTTATTATTATCTTTTCTAATTGATTGGGTTGGGAGATTCATTTGTACAATTTAAGAAAGATTGAGGCTTGCTTTTGCTGCCCTCCGTCATGCTGCATTAGGCATGTCAACATGGCAAAATAATTTGAGTAGTTCCTGGTGTTTTTTCCTTCTTTATTCCAGACGTACACTTTGGTTACAGTCTTCCAATTCAGTAGATTCTAATATTTTCTGACTTCCAGCATGAGTGCACAATTCTAACCCTATCTGATTAGTATTACTGATGTGCTCAAAAACAGAGGGAAGGTAAACATCCAAGAGTCCATTCACAGTGTTCTGAGCCTGATTTCAAAGTTGGAGCAGGAGATGGACATTAAAGCTTAGAATCTGTTACTTGTCTTTAGAGCTTCTAAGCAAAAGAAAGGAAATCCAGTATCAAGAAAAATTGAGAGCATGTCTTATATTGAGTAGTTTTGTTCTCAGTTAGTACAAAGAAATCACTTGAAACCCAGAGAATTGGAAGTTGTATGAGTATGGCAGCTTGTACCAATGATCATAAAATTCTCTAAGAGCTACTAAAGCACTTGCAGCATTTATTTGAGGCAAGGAAAAAATCGATAATCAATATCTGATGCATCGTTTGTCAAATCAGCAACACGCTTCACTAATACATGGTTTTAATTCCACTCTGTGGAAGGCATTTTGCATTTGTCTGTTTCTTATCACCAGATTCAGCTCTAAAATGTAAATATGCATTGTGTGCGGTCTTAAATTAACAGTTATCACTGCTCTTTTTATTTGCAACAAAAATGTTAAGTCTAAGAGTACACATGGCAAGTTCAGGGGTAAAATGTTGAAATAATCTCAAAACCAGTTTATGTTAGTTGAGGAGATTCAGGTATGTTCAAGATAGGTTGTGGTCTGAAATTGAAAGACATCAAAGCTGTACTGCAAAGTACAGCTAATTCCACAATCACATTTTATGTACTTACCTTGCTAGTGGCATTTCATACGGGATTTGATTCTATCTTCTTAGAGAATAAACTTGATGTTTGGTGTTTGTGCAGATGCTCCAGGAAGTCTGCAGTTGTCTGGGAGACACACTGTGTATCCTACAAGTATGAAAGATGGAGTCCATGATTTATGATAGTAGCAACATTCAGCCTTGGATGTAGTGGCACAGTCAGCCCTTCTAAATGTTGTCTTTTTAGAGGATGTGTGGAGACCAGAGCTGATCAAAATCATAGAATGACTGAGGTGGAAGGTTCTGGAGGCCTTCTGGTTGCTCAGATCAGTGGCAAGCTGGTGCTAGCAACTGAGGGGGTGTCCCCTTCGTTGTAGAGGCTTGGCTCCCTGACAGCGATGGGGATGGTAGGCTGACCAGAAGAGGTTACCTTTACATGCCAAGCATGTGGGCACATGAAAGAACTGACACCACATCTCCTCACCTGAGGCTCAGTGCTTTGTTTGTAGCATCTCATGATTCTTCTGTCTTACAGAGATTGGTTTTGTGATTTTGGAATTTCTCTAGATCCACTTTCTCAAAAAGTGCTCTGATACTCATTTCTAAATACGTAATAATTCATGAGGGTCAAGCCATAGCTTTGAGCTCAGGAGACTTGTATCCAATTTCTAGACTGGAATAAAATTTATTTTATTTACTGGTGAGAGGTGAGCTACTAACATTGCTGTGTATCATGTATGAGAGGAGGATGGATATCTAGGAAATGGTAAAATAATCTGGGGGGTATATGTGCAGAGAAATAAGCCAGTCTATTTAAACAGTCTAAGGCACTTCTTAGGAGAGGGTCAGCAGTGATCCTAGCTACAGAACTCTCCCAGGGCAAGCCTGTTTCAGGTATTGGTGCTGCAGCAGCTGATGGCATGTTAAGGGCAGCCAAAAGGAAGAACTGGCTTTGGAGAATCTACAGCAGCAAACCTCTGCATTTTGTTCATGACTGGCAGGTGTTTTTGATTGACTGGGTTTCCTCCACTGTTTGTATTCCTCTTGAAAATGAGAGCCTCAAAGGCTGATTTCCTTCTGCAGACTTCTGCCAACTCCCTGGGGCCAGTTCCTCCTTGCCAGCCCACCAGGGCTCCATAGGCAAGCTGCCCAAAGCATAGAAGCTGCGGAAATGGGGAGAGGCATGTTGGGGCATAAGAGTTGTGATAGAGGCAATGAGGAAAAGCACTTGAAGTGTCTTCCTTTTTCCTTTAATCCCATGCTATCCTTGAAATCTTTCTCTGCTTCCCAGCCCACTGTTTGCTGCCACCATCTCTATTCCCATCACTTCTCTGCTTTTTTCCGAGTACCTACATTTCTCCTCTGACCTTCTATGTCTTGCAATTTCCTACTTCTTGTGCCTGTCCCCATACTCCTAGCTACTGGCAGTTGTTTGTTTGTTGGTTTTTATTGGAGCTGTGATTCCTCCCTCTGCTGCTTCCATCTCCACTTGATTAAACGCACCAGTGCAATGGTCATGACTCAACACAGCTTTTCTTTTCTTTAAGACACTGGGATTTTTATGGAGTTGCTAAAGATGTGGCCAGGAAGAATTTTTGTCGTAACTTCATTAGGGTCCTCAGATACACAGAAAGCCATTTAGTAAGAAGAGTCTGAGCAATTCTGACTTTACAAGTGCAGCTTTTTAAAGACACTTGTAGTGAAGTGTCATTACGTTAAATGTCACTAATAGGAAACAGGCTCAATGTATTTTAGCAGCTAACATTTCAACAACTGTAGTAAATACATCCACGCAAATGTGCAGTCACAGTGAACGTACAACATAGAATTTGGGTTATACAGCTTTACTGTATTGATAGCAACAATACTGGTATTTCTGACCATATACTTCAAGAAATCTTAAATATACAGATGCAGTGGTATGCATTCCTCTAACTTTCTTTCTTGACTTCCAGCAGAATGTATCTTTAGAACTGAGGCTGGAGGAAAGAGGAATGAAATATTCTGTGGTGTGGGAAAATATTCTCTTATCTAGAGAAAAACATAGCTGTACCAGCCTAAATTAAAAGAGATGATTTAAAAAGAAAAAAAAAAAAAAAAAAAAAAAGGAAAAAAAAAGACTTGATTTGTTTATACACCATCAAAAGATTTTAGCTTTGTAGCTTATTTTGGAAAAAATAAATGTTTGCTGTTTCATGTGTTTGAAGTTTGACTGTTTATAAATGGTTAGCCCAGAACAATTCTGGTGCAGAAATTAAGTAGCCATGCAGACTTTACTGCAACATTGTCATGTTATAGAAGAGGATATTTAGAGCAGAGACTTGACAAACAACACCCCACAGCTAATCAGAAGAGTGACTGAAAGTCTTCCGTTGTCAGAATGGGGCCATGCTGTTGTATTCCACAAGGTGAACATTGCCATTTTTCTCATGTTATTGCTTTCAGCCATAACCAGTTTGTGATTGTGCCTACCTTATTACCTTTCTTTGTATTTGTAGTATCAGTAAAACATGTTCACTTGCTGTGTTTTAATATTAGAGTGAAACAGTTTTTTGTTTGTGAATGTAGTTATAAAAAAAAAAAAAAAGAATTTTCCATATAAGAAGATACCAACAAGCTGTTAAACTGTTTTTAGCCTTTTCAAGTTTAATCAATATAACTTTATATCCTTATTTGTAAAAATGTGCATTGCACGAACCACTCTGTATACTTACGCGCTATTTCTTTCAAATGTACTTTCATAGACTAAGAAACTTGAGAAAGATGCTAGTTCTGAAACTTTGAGAATAAATGTTTTAAAAGTCTTCCTTACCAATTGAATCTCTGATTACTACAGGGAAGGAATTTTTAAATCTGAAATATCTTCTCCATTTATAGTAGCTCTTCATGGTCTCTTGTTTTTTTCACAGTATAAATTGTTGGGGTTGTTTCTCTTCCGGGCTGTATTTGTTGACTCTGGATCTTCATGTGCTTTTACATTACTGGAGTTTTGCAGGCTTACGAAGTGCAAGGGAATGTCTAACTGCAGCTATTTTCATTGTGGGATTATGGCTTTTTAAATAAAAGCTGTTTATAGCTATGATATGATCTTCCTTCAATATATTTTGTATTGCAAACAGTTTCAGAAAACATTCTCAATAAACATAGCCTAAACATGGCAACTTCAGATTTCAGAGGGTTTGACCTCATATGACAGAGTCTGGTGAACTTTTTCCACCCCACAAAAATGAGTTGGCAGTAGCAGCTGCATACATGAGATCAGAAGTACCTCATCTTCTGAGAAATGCGAGACTGCACCAATTGCCCAGCCTCCGAACTGGGGTAAGTTTCCACCTCCCAGAGAAGATAACTGGGTATTCTTGGGTGGCTCTTCCTGTTTCAACTAGAAGCCGTCCTACCTCCTAGAAATTAATTATGCTGGAGCAGCGTTATCTAACCTGGTTTTCACATCAAGAGCCCTATATGAGATTTCTTACACTTCCTGTAATTTAAAGAAAGCTTGCAAATTTTAGTGGAAAATTTTTAAAATAAGTGCTGGAGAAGAATCAGTCTTTACATGCAATTCAGAGGAGTTTAAGCGCTTGCTGTGGAGGTCATCTTGCAGTTGGCATTCCAAATGAAGCAGAGGCAGACGCGTTTTCTGTGATATCCTTGTTAGCCCCCGCTGCATTTTGGGGGCCTGCAGCATGCTCAGAGGACTCATGCTGGGTTAAGCAGTGTTAATGAACAAAGACAGGCAGGAAAATCCATGGTTCATCTAGAGCTTGGGAATTGGCCATCAGGTTTAGTTAGTCGTGTGTGTGCCCATTCACGTCAGTAACAGAACTGCTCCCATGCTGAGCGGCAGCTGTTTGCAGGACATGTCTTGAGCATCTCTCTACTCCTGCCTGTTTCTTCTAGCTTCTCCCAGCTCCCTTCCATGGGAGTTAACTGTGGGAGATGGGGACGGTGCCTAGGTT